TTTTTTGTCTTTCTTGCTCGTCTCGCAGCTGCATGACTGACCGAGAGGCACTGATCAGGCCTAGGACCACAATCGAGAGACATCCTACTCCAAAGGCTTTTCAGGCAACTGATCGGCACTCTGGATAACGCGCCAGCCACAGTCGATAGAGAACGGCTGAAAAAACCGGCAGTCGCCTCGGGGATCCATTCCTTCATAAAGTCTAGCGCGGTGTGCCAAGGTCCTCGAATCGTTTCGTGTCGTATGTACGAGGAAAATCTCCCGAGCGGAAGCACCTGCACGGTCGCCAGACTTAGGGTCTGCCTCATCACCCCTTTTCGGGCCACTATATATGATCTGTCTTCGCCGTATACGTGAGAATGCTTTGCCCGGACCCGACATACACCCTACCATTTCTTTGTAGTTGAATGGAAAGTTCTATCGTAATTGCCTCAGAATGCTAGAACACGTTCGTAGAAGCCATTACACGGCTTGCTCTCGTTTGCGTCTCGGGGTGTGAATGAGCCAAGGGAAAGCGTTACAGTATCATTCTAAATCTACAGGTGCCAGTATAGGCTTGCCATCGATAGCGTATGCCCGGCACACATCGGGCGCTTCCCTGCGCTTTCGCAAGGTTTCCCGCATACTCAGAAGTTATTGATGTCAACCCTTGAAATTACTACTGTAGAAAGTCACGGCCAAGGTCACCCAATACTCAAACGTCCTCCAGACTCCGTATGACAATCGTCGTCGCCTCTACGTAGCTCTCCTCGTCGGATAACACGGCGTTGAATAGCAGTCGTTTCGCAGATGCACACGTGCCGGTGAGTGATAACAGCAAGTCCCTCCACAGCGACCTTGAATACAGATGTGTATTGTCCCCAGGCAAGCCGGACAAAGCCATCCCCAACACCCTCCCAGGGACATCAGAGGCGGATTGTTCTCACTCTTCGGCAGAGTCATCATTTCCCAAGCGTTGCCCGCACGGGCAGCGAGTTCTCTGGCATCTTCGTCCGACCATCCGATGACAGCTAAGGTTGTTGCCGTCGAGTCTGGTCAGGTTGGAAAGGTACCCTCGTTTGGTCGGATTGCGAGGCTGCAGGAGATATGTGACGGTCGGCGAATGCAATTTCCTACATGGTGAAGCAGCTCAATGCCAAGACTCCTCGATTGAATCGTGTCGCAGCGTGAAGAGAGCCGACAAGCTCCAGAAATGGAGTGGTGGAGGACGTGCCAGGGCAGACAAAAGGGGAAACGAGTAAAGAGTCTAGAGTCAACAAACAGAAGAAAGATCAGTGACCGACGCCTACCGCCTGCCCTCTCCGGAGGGAACGGGACAGGAATAAGTTGTTCTTCCGAATGTTTCTCTTGGTGAGGTTGAAATGGCCAGAAAAGAAGGACAACAAGAACAAGAGGAAGGGAATGTAGACTGTCTACGGTCTGGACAGCTGGTTGCCTACATGAGTACTGCTGTGCGTGTATTTTCCAGGGAATCTTTAGGGTACCAATGGAGCTGCAGTAGAACTTCAATCGACTGACGAGGTATCTTTGTCTGAAGGTGACAAGTAAACTATATATATTTGCGTTATGTCCTGACTGGATCACCGCCGTCAGAACAAGGTTGCATGGCAATAACTAAGCTTAAAATAAAATGAAACCAATTCATTGAACATTGTTTCACCTTTGAATAAAGGAAAGCGCCACGAGGAGCAGAAGCGGCGAGAATTAAAAAAGAAACAAAGAAGAAAGAAAAAGAAATTGAATGCTCCCACGCGGATTTGAACCGCGGACCTCATGATTACTAGTCATGCGCTCTACCAACTGAGCCATAGGAGCAGATGTGTACATTCGGTTATGCCTTAAAGTATACTATAAAGAAGAAGAAGATCACTTTGACCTTTCTCTTCTGTTGCACGATTCAGGAGCTTCTGTTACCAGTCTCCATGTTGATCCTCTTCCACATCTTGACCTGCTTTGCCAACCGTGGTCTACGAACTCATTGACACCATACGAACATTATTGAGATGACTGACCGTACCGTTCATGGTCTGACCAGTGTGTTCTTAAGGGGCGCTTTCCACGCTGTAGCATTCATGATCGCCTGGCTGCCTCAGGCGCTTGGACTCGCTTTAGTACATCTTGGATCTACCTGGAAAAATGACTATACAGAACATGAAGGGAATTTGCTCAGCTGTGAGTGAGCCTGGACATGATTTTAGGGGTACACCCAAGAGTTGTTCACTTTTTCTCACTCACTTACTAGGTAAGCTGTGATGGCTCTTTTGCTAGGCTTACAAAATAGCATCTTTCCAATCCAAGCCATCGCTTGGACAGTACATTTCCTCTAGAAACTTGTCATGCCTCCTGACGAACATGCCACTGATCACCCACCCGGAAGCCAGCCGGAAAAGGATCAGACGGGTCCAAGACCATCTGCTTGAAGCCAGTGATCCACGCACTGCCCTTGACCGTTGGCAAGACTGCTTCATATTGGCCGACTGTGGTGGTTCCTCGTATATGACAAGTGAATGTGGATCCGATAATGCTCTGGTGGACAAAGCTCTCCCCTACCTGGAGCTCGCCCCTGGCGTGCAAGACGGCCATCCTGGCCGAGCTTCCTGTACCGCAAGGACATCGATCAAACCTTCCTGGAGAGACCACCACAGTGTTCACCCCGACTCGCTTGCCATCTTCTTGATGCAGTGGCTCTGTAAACTCAACAATCGTGACCTCTCTGATCTTGTCGTTTTCCGGATGGACCGGTGTATAAGTGTCTCTCACAGCCTGCTTGATTCTCTCGCCAATTTCGATCAGCTTTGGACCATTCTCATTGGCGATTTTGAGACCGATGGCCCGAGCATCCACAATGGCATAATGCATCCCACCCCAGGCAATATCAACCTTCACCACCCCCAGGCCAGGTACCTGCACCGGGAGATCCAATCTGTATACAAAGCTGGGTACATTATCGAACGCCACGGCTTTGCATTTCCCATCTTCACAATCAGCCGTCACCCCGACCAAGCCCGACGGGGTGTCGAGGACCAGCTTCGTCACCGGTTCCGTCATTTTCACCATCCCCGTGTCTAACAGCACCGTCGTCGTGCAGATCGTATTGCCGCCTGACATGGGCGGATACTCATCACTCTCCATAATAATAAACCCAGCATCGGCGCGGGGGTTGCAGGGTGGGAGGACGAGGTTCATGCACATGGCCGGTCGGCCTCGTGGTTCGTTCATCAGGAGTTGTCGGACGTCGTCTGCTTCATTCTGGAAATAGAGGAGCTTTTCATACATGGTCTTGCAGTTTGGTGGGTTGAGAACTCCACCGACAATGACATCGCCAACCTCGCCGGCGCAATGGCAGCCCACGACCGAGATGGTGCGATTGAGTCTCATCGTGTGCACGACAACGAGGACTGTCCGGTGTGGAAACTTACGTGCGTACGAAAGTTGCACGGCTTTTCCTACGATTTATATCTTTTCCCCTCAGAGATGTGGAGACCAACGATCCCCCCGTCGGTTTCCCAGTCCGATGGCTCCTCACTCTTGTTGCACATCATCACTCGTCCATCAAGGGGAACTGACGCCGGACTGTATTCCGTGGACGTGAGAGATCGTTGTCGGCGGTCCCAATCCCCACCCTTCCCCGCAGTCATGATAGTCCAAGTCTTCTTTTACGAGCGACCCGCCGATCGGCTGTCTTACCGGTCTGCCGGATGCCATGCCGACCGGATGGGTTGATGCACCACCCAGCCCTATATATAACCATTCTTCAGGATTTCTGATTCACTCAATCAGCGAGTGAGCGTGTTTATAGTCGGGCCCTGCCATCGTGTTCGTTTCCCTCATCTCCTTCCACAAGTTCTTCTCCCTCCCAAAGTGATATAAAGAAAACATGGCTGCTCAACAGTCGCTGCGGGGCAAAAATGCGATTGTAACCGGTGGATCTCGCGGCATTGGCAAAGGCATCGCCTTTGAACTCGCCCGTCGAGGCGCCAATATTCTCCTGACTTACAACAGTTCCCGTCAACAGGCCGAAGAGGTCGCATCACAGATACGGACTGTCGGAGTAGATGCAATCGCGGTCGAAGGCAAAGCCGATGATTTGTCTGCACCGAAAAACATAGTCGATGCAGCAGTTCAGCGATGGGGCTGCATTGATATTGTGATCAACAATGCCGGTGCTCGAGAAGATTATCCCGTGGAAGAAATGACATATGAGGCCTTTGATCGCCAAATAGCTGTGAACCTGCGCTTCCCAGTATTTCTCATTAAGGAGGCGACACGGCATTTCGGCCAGGCGCCGCGCATTGTCAACCTTTCTAGTGTTTATGCTCGGGATGGGCAACCGGGATGTCTGGCATATGTGGCCAGTAAAGGCGCAATGGAGAGTTTGACGAGATCCTTGGCCAAAGAGCTGGGACATAAATACAACGCAACCATTAACTGCGTGAGTCCCGGTCCAGTGAATACGGAGCTGTGGGCCTCTACTACCCAAGACCCCGAGGCGAAAGAGGAGTGGGATCGGGTGATTCAGAGCACTCCCGCTGCGCCGAGGGTGGCAGAGGTGGATGATATTGCTCAGATTGTCGCCTTTCTCTCTGAAGAAGGGAGTAGATGGACCACAGGGAGCTTGATCAACGCTAATGGAGGGCTCCTGTTTGTTTAAGGATGGACCTGACTGTGCCTAGACGTGGACATGGCTGTTTTACCTGTGGAACTAGGCTGGGCCCAGGAGACGAGCGTCGACTAGGTGGTTCACGTCAAGACATTCTGTACCTAGGAGAAGTCTGAATGTGCCGCGACGGAACTGCATTCTGGATATGCTCTGAGGATTTTGCATTTTGTGGATCAAGCATTGTAGTCTAACATATTTCCATTACACCTATCTGCCATTCTTTAGCCATTACGAGGCTGTGATTTCCCGTCATGTTCAACGGTCAAGACTTCGCAAGTAACTAACCACTGGATGCTGAATATATAGTTCACGATCCAAATGAACAAACACGTGAAAAGAAACGCAGTGAGCCATACTCGCAAACCTGGCAGAGCATGATTTTCCTAACTGTCCCGCGGCGTTGGTATACGAGTCTAAGTTGTGTCGTAGCTCCCATGCACTCTGCTGATTTGAGTACCAGTTATCAGCCATGCGACTTACGCAGGGAAAGATCAAGGCCCAAGCGGACGTGGTTAAACGTGAAACTCGGCACACACCTAGCTGCACAAGCAGTGCGTATCAATCTGGAAGACGGCCAAGTTGATATTCCAAGGGCACTTGATCACCCTTAGCAGGTCTATGACTACTGTCACCGCAAAGAGCACAATGGTAGACACCCAGACGATCTCGCAGATTACCCCAGGCGCTCGGTCGGTAGCCCAGTGGGTGAAGGATGACGGTGATGATGCCCGTGGCTGGCTCGAGACATCTAAAACAACTGGATGGAAGTGTCTCAGAAGGCGGTTGATTTGGGGAAACCTGGGGTCGCATTGGCATGGTTCTTGGCTCTGTGGCACCGATTATTTTCTTTTATCGTGCAGGAACTGCCCACCCCCTAGGACTGTTGCTCTCGAACGCACTACGTGCCCAACTGTTGGTGCCGCTAGAAGATAATAGTGTAAATCTTCCCCAACAGATTCTACCGAGACGTTACGTGTTTCCACATGGATATGCATAACTGTGAATCGGCTCATCTATCCCGCATACATCCCGCCATATCGTGGTTTCTCGACAGTCTGCGAAGTCAAACAGCAATGTCCTGGCCGATCGCCTTCCTGATGCCGCACCGCACCCCAGGACAGAGGCTTTCCTGCCGCATCGGGATCTTCTTCTGGGGGATGGCACGCAGCGCTTATGGCAACACTGCAACTGCCGATCACCGGGATGTCCGGCTTCAGCTTGAAGGTGCTGACGGTGGTGAGTACGGCAAACATAAGAATTGCCACGGCGAGCGCCGTGATGATAGCGAGTGGGCTGTATCCGCAGGCCGTGATAATGCCACTATCACTCGCACTAGGGAAGTGGGTGTTAGGCTGTGTCAAGAGCTCATTGCTCGGTTGGTAGATTTTCAGATTGATAAGGAAGATTGATTGCGAGATCAACCAATGTATAACCGTACTACAGGCGAGGAGTGGCAGGGAGTATCTCCACGGAAGCTGTAACCAATACGTTTCTCTCTGGGCTCCCCAGGGAAGGGTCACTCGAAGTGTGGTCTGCTGGTAGGCGAACAGACTCCACTCATAGGCGGTTGCCATGCCTGTGAGCACAGCGTTGTACATAAAGTACAGTCCAGACAGGAGCAGTTGTGGAAGGTTCGCTACGATTGACGTGGTGACAATGGACGCGGCTGTGCCTCCTTTGTAGCCGGACGTGTTGACGATGGCATTTAAACTAAGTGCACCAAATCCCATCGTGAAGGCGTTCTGCGCCCCGACAAGGTTGATACCTTTAAAGAGAAAAACGAGGCCTACGATAATGCTGGCGAGCCATCTAGAAGCCTCCTAGTTAGTACAGCCTCGCCGCGGTCAGCCGCCCCCTGAGGGAATGGTACCTACAAGAGGATGCATGCTCCCCAGCGCCTCACGGATGTACCTTGATAACACCGCCCTAGCCAACCTTCTCCGTGCTGCCAACGTTGTGCCCACGCAGGTCCAATGTTGCCTGGGTCAGGGAAGATCGTGTCGTCCATTTTCGAAAGGAGGCATCGCCCCTTGGAGGCCATATCGGGGGACCTTAAGAAAGAGTCCAATGCATCGCCGATAGTTGCGAGAGTCGGTTCGCGAGAGACAAGCAGACATAAAAGAATAGAACTGAATTTCATGGCGTTGCATGCAATCGCGATGTATAAGATTACCGGGCTATACAGCAGCTGACAGGTATGGTTTGCGTTCGTTACGAGGCAATGATCGATCTCGTAATGCTCTGGTAGAATGGTCCATTTTGTGGCATTCCTCGTTGCCGCAGAGCCGCTGCATTGGCCATATAGGATGGCATCTGGGTGGCACATCCAGTAGTTCGTTTGTGTGAGCGCGTTGGGCTCCCAGCCCGTGCTGTTCACCTTATGCTCCTGGCAAGCAAATGGAACCGATGCTTCGTCCCAGTTCTTATCAAAGCAGTACTTCGGGCTATCATTGCCTTTTCCCCATTGCTCGCACAGTCCGCTACACCATTCCTCAATCTGATCCGGATAGTCCAGCGGATGGAAATATGCCAGCACAGGCAGAGTCGTATTTGTCGGAGGCGGGAAGATTTTAGACTGATTCAACGCATCGCTCTGCTTGGTGACAGCCAACATATTGAACGACCGTCCCCCCAAACCAGCTTCATAAGTGGAGATGCAACGACTGGGATCCATCTGCGTCAGGCTGCTGCGGTTGTTTCGGGTTTGATCAAACAACCAGCAAGTAACATAGCTGGAAATGTCGGAGTTCGGTATTGTTCCATTGCTTGACTGGTACAATCCAGACCAATATCGCTGCGGCCTTCCAAGAAGTCCCGAGTGACGACGAGTCCGCTATAGTCATTGAAGGTGGTTGTCATCACTACGGCCGAGTTCCACAGGAGGTGCAAAGGGAGAGTGCTGGCTAGGAGAGCCAACCATAACGCCAACTTGGCCCTCCCAATGAAAGGTAGGTTGCGCATCGAATGGACGCCGATATCCAACCATCTGCGCTGAGCGTGGGCTTGATCCACCTGGCGTCGCGTCGGAGCCGTCAAACATTGCATGTTGTAGTTACTGGCACCAACCAGCACGGTCGCAATTACATTGAGAGCGTAGTGCAGCCTGCTGTCCAGATCGTGAATATGGTCGCAATCGCTCTCCTGCATAATTCCCAGGTTATCGCTGCTTGGAGGGTACGTCAGGCGAACATAGATGGTGGCCGCGACATTGAGGCCTAGGCATATTCCGACCAGAATACACGAAATCAATGCCCCGAATCGCCATCCATGAAAATGATTGGGATCCTGAGCCTTGACTGGCAATGGATTGTAACCTTTTCCCGAGCGAAGGACCGCTCGGGAGTACCAGCTTTTAGTGGATGCCCAAGTGCCACGTCGTGTCCGTGTCAGGGCAATCTCGGAAAGCTCGACAGCCTCGTCTGCGAGAAGTTTGGTTGAGTCAGCACTCATATTGCCGTGGGAGGTAGGACGGCCTGGGAGGTGTCAGAGAGCAACTGGAGAAGAGAAGTCGAGTCCAACACATCAGAAGCTGGTGAGGTCCTGCCGATCGCATCTCAGCCTCGCTTGGCTCGCCGATCCTCGAGGCTGATTCGCCGTCTCACCATTCCACGAAATGGACCAAAATAGGATGCTTTGACGCAGGGAAAAATCGATTTGCCGATCCAAATGCTAGCCATTTGACTGGGTTTTACGACCAGGAAAGATTGCAGTTCATTTGCGTGCTATCCAGCCTTTGACAGCTCACCTGGTATCTACGTTGAGCGGGATATGGGGAGACATATAACATCTGGGTACAGTGTAGTCCGTTGGCTGCTATGGAGAATCAAATATGAAACATTATGAAGTGGGTATTAATAAAGGCATTAAATACTAAGCGTCGTTCGCAATCGTCACCCCTGATTGAAATCACACCCAACCATATAAAACCAGATGATGGCACTCCACGCACATCAATTACAGGACAAGAGCGCCCGCCACAGCAGCGGCGGCAGCCCCAGCCATACCCACACGAGCTGGGTGGTTGTCTGCGGCCGCTCCAGTCGCAGTCGCGCCGGTAGGGCCAGCCTTGTTGAAATTGCCCAGACCGGCCGTGACGGTCAATCCCTCATAGCGGACCTCAGAAGAACCGGTGGCAGTGGCTTTGGTGGTAAAGGAAGTGGTGGTGGACTGGCCTTTGTATTGCACCGCGGCACCGACCGAAACGGAGCAAACAGCAGTGGCAGTCGAGGAGGTAATATCACAATCTTGGACGATCGTCCCGGTTCCTTTGGCACCCATGGTGGTCATGGTGTAAACCGCGCTCATGGTGAAGGTGGAAGGCCCTTGAGTGATGGTGATGGGCTTGGTGAGGGGACACGAAGAAGAGCCCTCCTTGCAGTTCACCGCGTAGGTGGTTGCCTGGGCATCACCGCCCACGACACTGCCTCGGAGGTCGTCGAACGCGAGGGTGTTGTAGTGGCCGTTCAGGATTTGGACGACGGTGGTGGAATCGTCGGCGGCAAATGTGGTCGAGAGGCTGGCCGCCAGGAGAAGGAGGGACTGGAGGACACGCACCATTGTGGCGATTCTGAGTCTGATCTGGGACGGAAGGAGGAGATCAACTATTTGGCCGGAATGGACGGCGAAGAAGGCTTGCTCTCGGGAGATGAGAAAGTTTTACGACGAAAAATTCTGCGGGTTGACTGCGGTAGACCCTGTTATGTACTCCGTACGTGATAGCGCTCGAGCTATCCTCTAGCCTGAAAAGAGACCCCAAGACTTCGAGGGAGCCACTGGCTGGGACCAGGATGCGGCTGAAGACAGAGACACTCTGACTGACTCATGGACTAGGCTGGTGTTGTTTCGTGCGGGACATTGGGGACATCTAGCGAGCGGCTTGACGCTAAATTGACGCGGTGCCCACCAGTTGAACTTTGACAGAGGACTGTCGACAACTGTCATGAAACCTGCAGGGGCTAAATTCAACTTGATTGGCCTACTAGAGGCTCAAAATCAGTGGATACGAGGGGTTCCACCGACTGTTCCCTAAACGATGTGATAACTTCGGCCCAGCCCGACGCAACCCAGGTAGAACCGACCAATTCCAGGGGATCAGGCGCCGTATTCCGGAGGAAGTAATTTCAAGGGTTGCTTGCTAGTTTGGGGGCCAAGGCTAAGGCAGTTTTCTCACGCCTCGTGGTGGTCAAAGCCCCCCATATTATTTGCTTCGCTATCTCGTAGCCCTATCAGGCGGCCCACCCCCAGGTGTTGATCTTTACCTAAACGGCCCAGATCTGCATTTGAAGAAGGGTCCAAAATGCTGAAGAATGACTGCAATTTCCATTAGCTGTGACCCAAGATGATGGGCAAGGAAATTGTCCAATTCGGGCGCGTGTATATGGTTACAAGCAAGAGAAACGCATCAAACTGCCTCCTTCCGATACCTTCTCCACCGGGCCACTGCTAGGAGACTCTCTGCATCTCATGGTGAGGAAGCCTTTCTAGAATACGTACCTGGAATGACAGACACATTGTATCTGCCAAGCGCCTGCGGTGGCTATCCGGAGGTAGAATGAACTATGACCGAACTTATAGTATGAGACTTACTGCTACACCATTGTTGAAGCAGACATCTTTCGTGCATATACCACGGACTAAACTTAACGCATTCGGGTGGGATAGAAGTGAAGTTCCTGGTGATCTGGAGGCATCCATTCGGTATCCTCGGCTTCTACCCCCAGTGTCCCAAGTCCACCACTGTCGCGTCCACCGTCCACTCGGTGTTCGTCTCGCAGGAAATCTCCTGCCACAGTTACTGAGAGCTCTCGAGGTTATGGTAGGACATCATCCCCAAGGGACAAATATACCCCCTAGCCTGTCACCGTGACTGTTGGGACCCAATCAGTATATTGCCCACCTTAGACACGGCGACAATTCCCCTTTCCCGCCTGTTTCTGTCCATCGCATGAGAAAAGATGGAGAAACTGCCCGGCAATCATGTGGCCAACCTCACCGTACAGCTTCGCGGGCCGACACACTCATCTTCCTGTTTAGAGTTCCCCGTACCCTGAATGCAACAGCTCAGGACCGACATCGAGCGCTCACATTCTACCAGGAGGAGCGCGACCAAGTCGCCAGGAGTCGGAGATTCTGGTTCAGTCCGCAGCCAAGATCCAACACGACGCCCCCCTGGCGTGCGCTCTCCAGCACATGCGTAGAGTGTGGAAACGCAGCGATGCCTGACAAGAGAAACGTCCACGTCCAATGTGGCTTTTGTACAACGGATGTGTCGATCGGAATCGTGGGCTTCTGAATGTTGCAAAGATTGTAGGGATTACAACCATTGACTGCACAGGATGGGGACTTCAATATACGGGGCGAGGGCGACGTCGGCTATACCTTCCAGCACACGATATTTATCAAGACGGCAGGGAGATGCTGAATACGGAAGAGTCGAACGAGAGGTTACTGGGTGTACTTTATAGCCAGGATCAACAGGAAAGAGGGAGATGCTGGGATTGCAAGGGGTGTGAGGTTCGTCCGTCATGCTGGATCCGTTTAGATATGAATCAAACAAATCCGTCAAGGTAGGATGAGCTTCATCACTGGATTGGAAATTCCGATGGACAATCTAACAAGACAATACTCTGCCACAGTAAGGAACGCCGGTCGCTTAAGTCATATTATGCGAGTGTCTAACAATTCCCCATGGCATGGTGAGCGGAAATGCCTATCGTGTCCACAGCTTTCGGCTTCTGGGACATGGATAAATCGGTAGGTGAATGGTTGGAGAAGATCGTTATGTCGCCATGAGAAGAAAAGCTCATAAGTTTCTCCCAGACGGATTGCCATCTTTAGCACCGGCGACGATTTCGTCCTCGACCTCCAAACCCTCCTCCATATCCACCACCATATCCACCACCATGTCCACCACCATGTCCACCATGATAGGGTCTTCCGCCCCATCCAGGTCCATATCCTCCCGGACCCATTCCAGGTGCTCCATAGTGAGGTCGGCCGCCAAATGAACTCATGAGGGTATGTCTTCGGGGTGGAGGCATCACGCCCGGGCGCATCCGGCGGCGGCTGGGGACACTGAAGCAGAGGCCCATACCGATGTACTGGGATGAAGCAAGGGGATTGTTATTCTAGTAGATTATGTAGACCAAGAGGAGATGTCTAGGGTCAATACCGGAGGAAGTGGACCAGGTCATATACGGAATGAATGTCTCTCATCTATCCCGAGTCATGTCGTCATCCACGTCCCATTGCAGGGTCAATCACACCCAAGCCCCTCCCACCCTTAACGCGCCAATCAAATTGACGCTTATGGCTTGGTCATCTAACTGGGGACGGTATTATGGCTGTTGCTTCGACGACTTCACTTGTGGTATAATCTTTGAGATCCTATGTAGGTCGCCAGCCCGGGCATCTACCCAGGGAGAGAAATTTTGCACACAGTACATATCTCAGGAGATTTGCTCAACATCGGAGATGAAGCGCATGCGGCAGCAATATGCAATGATGTTCAGCCAGCCATGATGGCCAGATAAAAGCTGACGGAGCTGTTCGGTGTGCTTTGTCTATCTGAATGACAAATCCTAGCCTCACCTAGAGCCCTTTGGATATCGATGGCCAGCTTCGCCTATTCCCGTACTTTATTGATTCATTCAAAGTGTGTTCATGCAAGGGGAGCATACGTCTAAATTGCTTGCTAAAAGCATAGAAAAACAAAAGCAATATCCTGTAGTTCGAAATTAGATTGTGGATGATCAATGCAATTATTTGCACTTCCGGTGACAAATCAATTTCAGCAGGCAAAACAACTGTGATCTACATTCGTCATGGCATTCAAGATTGAGAATCCCTGCTCTGCTTTTTCGGGTTTCTTCTCTCCCCATTTCACTTGATGTGATGCAAGGGATACCAGATGACATGGTAGACGTCCACACCGAGATCGACCGTCGGTGCTACTGTGTGTCGACTGAAAGGTACCAAGCTGACTTTACTGGTGAAACAAAAATTTTGAGCATTAGTCGTCATGCAATCCCTATTTATATCTCTCCTAGGCCCTGCTTATTGTTCTCATCTCCATCTTTCCTCTAAAGGTCTTTGCCCGTCTTGGACGAAAAACACAGTATAACACCTTTTTTCAACACTGCTTAAACCTACCAGATACCGCTATGCATATGAGATTCTTATTTCTCCTCACCATCCTTGTCCGAGGCGGACTATCTAAGCATGACTGCGATGAAAAGGGTATGAGATGTCACTGGGAAGGCACGAGCCCCGCCTGTGGTAGCACCGGCAAAAGTTTAGGAGACACGGAAGTACGAGATGACGGTACCTATGTATTGCAAGAATGGAGCAAGGATTACAACCGGTTGACCCTTTGGAACAAAAATCTCGTGGGCTATGACTGCATCAGACAGGGAGCTTACGGCGAGTCGTGCTACCTCGGGGGGTACAAACGCCTTTGGTGCAAGGTTAAGGAGTATGTATTGCCTATCTTCGTCATACTAATTAGTATATGGTTATGCAGAGCTAGGGTTACATAGTTCGGTACTGACTTTCCATGTACCAGTCCCAATCCTGAGCCATCTAAGGACAGTGAGCCACTTACTGGCAAACCCAAGGCATACACTGGTTGGGCATTCGACGGCAGCGACCAAGCCCTGGACTTGGATGACCAATGCAAATCCCTACCGAGTTTTTTGTATGTTGCTACGAATATTTAAGTGCTTTCACTGGATCTTCGCAATCAATCTAACATGGTTTACAGGTATCGCAATGTGGGATCTCTTGATATCCCTTGCTCTTTGCACAACAGAACTCATTCAGCCATATGCTCGTTATACTCGTATGCACAGTCTGAGTTTACTTTCTCCTCTTATCCAGCGCTAATCGGGTGTCCTTGAGCAAATAGGGATTCCAAATGTGCAACCGAAATTATCACATACGATCGCAGCCATTATTCCCTTTTCGCGAAAAGGCAAGGGGAGAGATACGGCGACATCGGCAACCGCGTCGCAAGCATCAAGTGTCAGGTGCGAGCCAACACAGACCTGTGGACATCCCATGTTCGGTCAGTTGATCATCCGTCGAATGAGAGCGTCGGTCAGTGCCCGAATGAAAAATGCTCTTCGTTCTGTACTGGTGAGCCCCAGTCTGGCGGACTTTATTGCAGTGACTATGCCACATGCAAGAAGGCCTTGAGCCTGGGAGATGCTTGCACGGAACAACAAGAGTGTGGTGTGAATGTTTGCCAAAATAACACCTGCCAGCAAGCCTCTCCGTCTCTTGGGTGGTACGGGTATAAGTAAAGGTCGAGAAGCCAATCCAGTTTCGCTCGGTCTAGGCATGGCATTTTGGAAAGCCGGGGCAAGTTGCAGGGTGGTATATGATTAAGTTAGTTGAAAAGGCTTTTGTAACTCTCGGTAGTTCACTTAATTTAATATTGAATAAACCTTAACATATCTAAGTCTTTATTATCTCGTCTCGGTTCGGAATTTATCATAGTATACTACTGGAACTTACGTTAAACTAGAATGAGATTCTATTTTTAAATCAGTATATATAGACTTTGTTTTGTATATCAAGATTCAAGGACTTTAGATGATCCATTCTTCATACCCTCACCTAGTGGACAGCCAACAGGCCATCTGCCCAGTACAAAAGATCTTTCTGTTACCCAAATGGCTCCTGAGTCCTGAATGCAGTGGTTTGGTGGCTTCGTGGAGAGCCAAGCCAGCTATCGATGACATGCGTTCGGTTATTGAAACTGAACTCGGGCTGTCGATTACGTCACGGAGCTGCCGGCATATCAGGAGACTTCGTATGTATGCTGCACCATGGCCACGTCTAGAACGCCCAGCGCTCTCCTGTTCTTTGGCGGAAGACAATTAAGACAATTCCAGCTTCTCTAGTGGCAATGGTGAGGAAGACGAAGTGAAATACAGACTTTCCACCTCCAAACATGCAAGATCTGCATTCTGGGCAAAGAGACATTTCGACACGAAGACTATTTGACTAGCATTTCACAATGTCTGAGAAACCCTTGTCACCAACAGGAAGTAACGAATCGCCTGAAGTAACTCCCACAACCCAGCCACCGGCAGTCCCCGCCCCGCCAGGAGAGGCTCCGAAAGTGATTCCTCTAACCCTGCTCACAAATCGTCCCACCATAGTTGACTGCCCATATTGCCATGCACGAACGGCAACTCAGACTGAAATGATTGTTGGATCGAGGGCTACGTGATTCTCCCTTTCCGTGCCGTGATAACAGGCCAATAACCCTGAGTATAGCTGCTGGTCATGTATATGCTGCATCTTTCTTGGCCCCCTTGGTGCTCTCATCCCGTGCATTATGCCAAGTTGCAAAGATTGTGAGCACTACTGTGGGAGCTGCGGTAGGGTGCTCGCTGTCGTTGAACGGCAAGGAAACGTACGAATCGTATATTATGATAGTAGAGCGATATGACGTTTAGTGTCAGTGGAAGAGTGCGCCTTTATATCTGGTTGCTGTCATGATCTGTCCAAGATAATGGCTGTTTGGTCTTTTCAAACATCTCTGCAACAGGTCTCTCTATAAGACATTTTGGGGCGTCTTCGTGAGCAACGACGAGGAGCCTATTTCCGCACCCCTAGGTCTCTTTTGATGGGCAATCTGGAGATCGTTCTGTGCCATGTGTCACAATATTGATATATTACATATGTCTCTACGCGTATATGCTGAAGCTATGACAATCACGCCAGAAAAAATCAATTTCGTTATCCAATCTCGCCCTAATTTCGAAACTGAACGACTACTTGCATACCGAGTATCGCTTAGAATATCTGACACGATATGTAACTGCTACCCCATAGGAGTTCTAGACATGATAATGTCGGAAATGCTTTTTGCGAGTGACTAATCCATGTTCAATTAATTGAAACAGTCCTGATATCGCCCGACAGTAAGCTGTGGTGATAGCAAATGTCACACCAACCCCAGGCAAACTCGTCTTGTTTTGCTAGCCATTCTCGTGGATGGCTAGAATCAACTAAATGAATGAGTTTTGCAACATCCACTGGGTCCCGTCCTATATCACGAGTAATACACAGCCCGTAGGAGTGGTGCTCCAAAGTAACGAGCACACTAGCCGCAAGCACTGAAGCTTGACCTTATCCCGTATTACCAGAGGAAGTAACCTGCCTTTAGTTCCTTCAGTTCTGCTAGATTCCCTAGCTGAATGAGGGTTTCTTTAATCTGTGCTGCTGCAGACCTGCAATACCCATCGGAACCTGGAGGCCTAGTTTCCGACTTCTTACAATCCGCTTTTAACCCAGGTAATTTCATCCTTCCTTGGGTCCTGCTGATCTCCTGGTAGGGATTCTCTATAATTTGATCATCATAACTACCGCCAAATATGACGGCCTTGAGAATCTGAGAATCATCCTTGGAAGCTAGTTGGCTTTCTTGACACTTGGGTAAGCATCCCGATAAGATACGAAGAAGATTTGATGTTCTGGGCTGTGCGCTGGTTATAAAATGAATGACTTCATGCCTGGTGAATAACTGGAAAAATCCTAGCATCCAGTACCACACCTTCAAGGGCTGAGTTCTTTGATCACAAGTGAGCCAACTCTCTCATACAAGCCGCAGAGACTCACAGGAATAGAATATAGCGCCATTGTTCTTCGAACTTTCGAAACTTCTTCCTATCCAAGGGGAAAACGAGACTGATGACGTTCGCATTTAACGGTATGCATTTGGAAATTTATATGGAGATGTCAAAACATATTCGAGAGCTGTTGGCGCGGAGCACAGACAAGGAGGTTCTATGTTTATATTGTCATCACTTCTCCTTGATGAGATGAGTTAAACATTTACGTCTGGCCACAGACTCCCCTAACATCACGATGCCGACACCTAAAATAACTCCAAAGAAGTCTAAAAGCACCTCGTTTTCGGCTTGTCGATAACTCCCTTGGCAACTTATCATGACACGATATCGCATTTTTCCAAGCACACCACCCTCAACAGATAGGAGGCCTATGAACCTCAGTGACTCGGTAGGTAACAGGACTAATGAATCTGTCAGCCTGAACAGCCCTCCCTAAGGGATGCGATTGGACTTATTCGGAAACGAGGAATTTAACCTTTTCAGCCGGAATTCACGGGGAGAAGAGTACTGGCCAAGAGGTGGTGGGGAAAGAAATCCGCGGAAATCGAGCTCAACTGTACGATTAGCTGCCGAGGTTCAACCTCGCTTATGAATAGACTCCACTACGGAGGACCGATCGTACGACTCCAAGTCCCCAGCTGGCCTCAAAGTGGATCTGTAGAGCCTTTGGAAATTGGCACTAATTGCCCCAATTTACGCACAGAGTCAGGTTTTCGACGCGGAGCATCGCTGATTTGTGGACTGATAAGACTGCCACGGCTAAATTTCCGATTATCCATCAGTCCCATGCCTTCAAAAGGTTGGAGGATAAATTATAGTAGATCAAATATAAAGGAAGGCGTTTCGTTTGCTGTTCAAGCTGCAAACTAACTTTTTTATCCGAGGACGTCCGGCGTATATGAAGTAAATAGTACTAAGTAGACTAGTAGCACCTCAATCGGGCTAGCTCTATGACTCCGGTGCATACTATTTCTGCACTTAATCAAATTGAACGCCGAGTAAGAGTTGTCGTTTTCTGGCAGTAGTCTTACGATGAGTCAATGACTTCTGGCACTATAGTCCGAAGCTATCAGGGGTGAGGGCAAGAACAACGAAGCTGCACGTAGCCATGAAACCATACGAAAGACTGGGGCAACAATAGATAAATGACCTTTGATAGAAACATAAATTGAATTGTATTCTCTAGCTGGAATCATTACTCATGAATATCGAGGCTCCTGTTGGGTCTCGTCCAGGCTTCGTAGCGATATGCTTTCGCCCTTCGACAGAATTTGACCGTGTATCGATGTGGATGGGCTCTCATGTGAACGATTCATGTCAAGGGGCCATTTGTCCGCCTCCCCAGTGATGTTCTCCCCAAGCCTGGAGAAGCCATCTCCTACCTTCACTTTGGCATTGCTAGCGGTATAGTGGTGACCTCGGGTCTTGGAGGAGTGTTTACTCATTAACTTCCGCGGTAGAATCCGAACGATTAACGGCCAGATAGAAGGCAGACAAGCCGAAATGATAATGATGCCTGCTTCGATTACGGTCCAGATACCTAGATTAATTGATGCCCCTGTCGATTAAGATTAGTGACGACCAATAGATGACAACTGGGTGCATCTTGTGAAGACTTACAGGTTGGGTCAGTGAGTGCATTTTCCTGGAAGAAGATGGTCATGCGCAAAATGCTTGCCACAGTTCCCCTACAGGAGGATACGTGAGTCAACAGCGGTGGCGCCATCGATACGCAAAGTACTTACAATCCCCCAAGTATGAACACCCCCGTCAGGGCGAGTTTCTGTGTCATTCGTGTATGCAGCTTCCAGACAAACGGTAAGGGCATGGCCAAGATCAAGACATCCGTCAGAATGTTCGGAGGTGAGACATATCGATAAAACGCTTGCTGGTCAAAGCACGATCCACCTTGAATTGTCTTATCCCAAGCATACTGCACAGGGGAACATTGAAATATCGCCGCGAAAAGGACACCAATCCCGTGGCCCAGGACAATAAAGCCAACCGTGTAGGCTATCATGCGGAACTTCGGCGTGCTGAAGATGCGGATATAAAAGAGAAGGATCGAAATCTTCGCCGGGGTCACGATAAACGGAAAATCAAGAATTTGGTTTGCAACGAGTCCCTGGAACAGGATTAACGGCCGCATTAACGAGGGCTCTTATATCAATGTCACCTTTTGAAGATTGACGAGTTTCTCGGGGGTCTGCATAACGTATTCGAGATGGTACCCCAGCCCACCAATCTTTAGCACTTTTCACAAGTCAGAGCGTCTTCTTAAACCTTTGGAACGAAGATGTCTGCGCACGTACAGATTATGTATAATGCTGATTGGCCTAAGCTAGCAATCTATACGCAGGGAGGCCATTTAGTAACGCTAGACGGAATGCTGGATGGATAGGGAGAGCAACCAAAGAAGGTATAATCAGGTAGTCATCGATTGCGTAGGCTACTCGCTGTACAGAGCGGGCATAGAACCGAGCTGCGACCACTAGTATTTGGACGACTGCGATGGCAATGGAAACGCCCATCAGCGAGTCACCACAGTAAGCGACGTCCGTACTGCCCGACGAAGTGCCCATTGTCACCGCAAGCCATGCAGCAATGCAGGCAATCAGACCCTGCGCATGGCTGGATTCTCACCATCTTTTAAAGCCGGAACGTACAGGGCTACCTAATTTCAATTTCGCTGGATTAATCGTTCGGGGCTAAGACTCGAACTGGCGCTCAGGCCATGGATCGCGATGGCGTGCAAGTGGAACCCGCGATCTCGAGTTTGGCATCGCACGTTAATTTAATCGCTTCCGGAGCTCCACATGGCTGTTGCGTGGGAGATTGGGATGGGGAACAGCAATCAACGTGCATCCTTCCGTCACGGCCCAGCCCCCGTCTGAGAAATCTCAGCTAGGGGGAATTTTCCGCCAGGGACACATACCCGCCGCTTATCTGGCCTTTGCTCAGCGGATGCGAAACAACGACCCTGAGTAATATCGTTCCTAGCCGAATGATAAAAAACCACACTTCCTAGAACCAGATTCTGTATGCCCTCCAAGTGCATATCCCCACTGTTTTCTCGTCAGTGGGTCCCGTGGCATCCGGTGGACTTCGGGGTTCTCAAGTCCAATATGCCCCTCAGCCATATCTAGTAGCCGTAATATTCCAAACCATCGTAGTGGGTCGTGGCATTTTAAAGTCTTCCCTCCCCCCTGCCGACTTGCATACCCCAAATTTTATCAAGAACTTGATATTCCATAAGGGCTTCAGACCAAAACATGTCGAGTAGTCCTTCTCTTGAAGAACAGATCGCGTCTCTCACGCAGACGGTGCAATCCAACAGAGAATCTCTTGATGATGCTACCCGATTGAGGACTCTCAAGGCAGCACGAGGCCTCCTGGACGCCCTGGGGTCTCCACCAGAGACTGTGATGCAAGATGTGGTTTTAGTATGTGGTGAAAACCTTCATAGACAGGCATCTTGCCAAACTGGCATCATGTCTGCCCCAAAGGCTAAGACGCTAACCAGCTGACGAGGGATGCTAGAATCCCGTTTTGCTTATGGCCCTTCGCATGGGGGTGCAGCTTGGGGTCTTCCGGATGATCTGCGACCGCCAAGAGGAGGGGACAACTACTGAGCAAATGGCGGCCCAGTCAGGAGCAAGTGTTATCGTTGTCGGTGGGTTTACGTACTTGTCCTCCTACAATGCCGGCTGCAATATGGAGTTGCGGTTGTACGACCTTAAGGCTTGACACTCTCACGATGGCGATCCCAAGACTTTTGTGACTTCATGGAAAATTACATTTACTGATGACTTGTGCGTACGCAGGTCAGATCTTGAGGTTGTTGGCCGCCGCGGGATACGTGTCAGAGGCAGGAGTCCAAACCTACAAGCCTTCCCCTCTCACCATGGTGATGGCGGATGGGACCCTTGAGGCGACAACTAGAGCATGGTATGCAAATTCCTCCCTCGCGCATCAAGTGGGTCAAAGCCACAGGTCACTCATTCGTACGAATTCAGTTTCGATATTGGAAACTACTGCACTACCTATGCCCCAGAGTACTTCCGTCAGAATCACAATCAGTTCCCGACATCCGCAGAAGATACCCCCTTCCAGCTCGCAAAGAACACTCCCTTGAGTTACTTCGCGTGGCTGGGACAGAACCCGTCCCTGGCCAAAGACTTCCAGCAATGGATGACACTCAAGCAACAAACAACCCCAAACTGGGTGGACTGGTTTGATATTAAAGGCAACCTCTTCGGGGGCTTTCGCAACCAGCCGGGTGATGTTTTGCTTGTGGATGTGGGTGGTGGCGAAGGACAGTATCTCCATGCATTCAATGACAAATTTCCTGATACCCCAGGGCGTCGCATTTTGCAAGATCTACCGCAAGTGATCTCCACCATCAACAATCCACCGAAGGGTATTGAGTTGATGGCGCATGATTTCTTTACTGCTCAACCTGTGAAAGGTACGAAAACACATTGATTTCCTTAGCGTGACCGGAGGGCTTAGTTTCTCTTCCTGCATCCCATCAATGTAACCCTTAATATACTGACGAATCCACAAGGCGCTCGAGCATACTATATGCATTGGATCCTGCATGACTGGCGAGACGAGCAAGCGCACAGTATCTTGAGCAATATTGTCGGAGCCATGGAACCAGGTTATTCTCAATTAATCATCAACGACCAGATCATCCCTGATCGGGATTGCGACTTTCCCACCGCGTGTATCAGTATTATGATGATGCTCCAGGTCGGCGCCTTCGAACGCACCGAGAAACAGTGGCGTGATCTTCTTACGTCTGTAGGCTTGAAGGATGTTTCCTTCTACCAACCACCAAGCAATGGGGAGGGCATCATTGTTGCCACAAAGGCGTGACCTGTTCTTGCATTATTGGGTTGAATAGATGTACATTTCTGGTACCATAGACAAGGATTTAGAATCGAAGGATATGACACAATATAACGAGAAATGGGGGTAATGGGACAAGACTAATTGTGTCATTAATGAGGCAGGCGAATGTGTTCATGACCACCCGGAATGCAGTCTTCGTACGTTGCTGCCAAGCCACAATAATGCTTTTCCTCTCTACCTGGCAGATGGGATAGAAATGTTCCTCCGCACATTCGGCGGAGTCTTGCTTGTAGTATTTAGCCTTTCAGGACCCAGCAAATAAGAAAAAAACA